GAATGGCAGAGCCTTCAAATACTAAAAAACATTTGACCCACTTCAGCCCGAAGTACTTCGCATACTTTAAGCTAAAAACAACATCTAACCTTTAAACGGGTCACAGGGCATTAGGTTATTTGTCTGAGCCCGAGCTGTAAAACTCCATGTCCCAGAATGCTTTGCTTACTTCCACATATAGAAAGTGATAGAAGTGTGTTTTACTTCATTAATGTTGAGAATTATGGCTGGACAAAGTAGACATCAGGGGCAGTCCCGCTGGACTGGCAGACTGGGGTGGTGGTCCCCCTATTTAAAAAGGGGGACCGTAGGGTGTGTTCCAAGTACAGGGGGATCACACTCTTAAGCCTCTGAAGGTCTATTCAGCGGTTCTGGAGAGGAGGGTCCGTCAGATAGTCGAGCCTCGGATCGAGGAGGAGCAGGGTGGTTTTCGTCCTGGCCGTGGAACGCTGGACCCGCTCTATACCCTCAGCGGGGTCCTGGAGGGTGCATGGGAGTTCGCTCAACCAGTCCACATGTGTTTGGTGGACTTGGAGAAGGCGTTCGACCGTGTCCCTCGGGGTATCCTGTGGGGGGTGCTCCGGGAGTATGGGGTACCTGGCCCTTTGTTACGGGCTGTTCGGTCCCTGTACGACCGGAGTCAGAGTCTGGTTCGCATTGCTGGTAGTAAGTCGGATCCGTTTCCGGTGGGAGTTGGACTCCGCCAAGGTTGCCCTATGTCTCCGGTCCTGTTCATAACTTTTATGGACAGGATTTCTAGGCGCAGCCGAGGTGTCGAGGGTGTCAGTCTTGGTGGCCTTAGGATCGCATCTCTGCTTTTTGCAGATGACGTGGTCCTATTGGCTTCATCAGGTCGGGACCTACAGCTCTGCTGGAGCTGTTGGGATGAGGATCAGTGCCTCCAAGTCCGAGACCATGGTCTCTCACCGGAAAAGGGTAGAGTGCCTTCTCCGGGTCAAAGCGGACGTCCTTCCCCAAGTGGAGGAGTTCCAGTACCTCGGAGTCTTGTTTGCGAATGGGGGTAGTGTCATGGGTGTCTTGTCATATATTTCCTGTTTTGTTTTGTAGTCCTTCCTGTCTGGTCCCAGTGTTGCTTTCCCACTTGCTTCCTCTTGATTTCCTGAATCCTCCCTAATTACCTCCACCTGTGTCTCATTGTTTCCTTCCCTGTCGGGTGTATTTATTCCCCAGTCTGTCTCTTTTTCGTTGCGTGTTCGTACTTGTCTTTTTGTCAGTCGTCCAAGCATTCCTAGTCTCGTCTTGCCTTGTATTCCTGACCTTTGCCTGGCTGTTCTTGACCTCCGGTTTTG